TTTTACACAGCCTATTTATTACCGCGGCAGGCTAGCGCTTCACAGTGAAGGTGGAGGACTCAGCCTTTCCATTAGAAAAGCTGTTATCCAAGACCAAGGGACCGTTTGGGTGCATTTCAGCTTTCCCCCACACTGAAACTTTGTATTCAAATACCCAGCCCTCATGCCCTCCTGTATGTATTCCCTCCCATACACAACCCTCTCATAATTCTGCTCTTTTGAAATGAAGAGCGGCTCCGAAAATTGCCCCAGACGCGTATTTTTACACCTGCAGCATTACCATTGATTTTAACAGAAATCCTGCCTACTCCAATGGGAGCAAAGACTGCTGGTTTGGCTCTAATTAGTTTGATTATTGTGATTGTCTAACTGAAAGCAACTGTTTGAGACAACACCTCCACCCCCCACCCGCAGCTACTTAGCTCACAATCCCTGGGAATTTATTTAAAAATACAACACTTTCCAATTGATGTTTGAAAATCGTGCCGTGTGTTTGCGGACTAACTTTTTCATATCTATCTTTAATGTCTTAACAGTGACAGGATATTGAAGACAACAAATAAGCACGATAATATATAGGATAAAGTGGATGGTTGTATGAGAGTAATTTTTTACTATTAGTGGGTAAATAATACGCATTTCGAAAAGATGTGTTAACTTTACAAACCAACCTGATCAATACTATTATCGCCTTTTTGATCATCCATATTGTATAATTCTCCATCAAATATTTTAAATCAAAGAAATTAGATGTGCACCTCACATTGCAAGAGCGCTAAAATGGTGACACAGCCCAAGACGTGTAAAATTAATGATGACAATTTGCAACTCTTAATGTTTATGTATGTATTTATTAGCCACAATATGCGAGTTATTGAGCTAGTGATGCGTGTCAAATTGGAATTCATCATCCCTATAGATATTTTGTAGATTTGTGCCACAACATTATTAAAGGTGTGGAGGAGATTTTATTTGTGAAGTATATACTCAAGAAAAAAAAGTTTGAACCTGTCTCTTGTCTGCAGCGCAATAGAGAGACCGTGTTTTCCTAAAGATGTTAATCCAAGCTGTGATTCCTCTAAGGCGAGGAAGGGGTTTATGCTTTACTGTTGGGGGAAAGAATGTATAAAGTACCTTGGGAGAAGAACTAATGACTACACGGTGTTATACTTTCACAATATGATTAAGAAGATGCCAAACAAAACTAAATCAATAAATATTAGTTGGTAAGGTTCCTCCAACACCTATCCCCGAAAATGTGTACTTCGAAACCTTCGTATTCATTAAAGCCCGACCCTGCACTTCCTACTCTTTTATCCTAGGCAGATTGGGCCCTCAATCTGTTGCTATCTTTCGGGCACAGAACTCTAAAAAATCTCTGAAAGTTTTGTGCTTTCGAGTGACTCTTTGCTAGGCTTGGAACTTCGGTAGGTTTATTTGGAGCTAGAACTCAAATTAAAGTCAATCACCTCTCACCTCATCCACAAGCCACTTTCCTTCCCCTCAGAGAGCCACCTACAGTATGCGGAATTAAGTGGTGAAGCCAGTTGAAAATCAGTTCTACCACAGATCAAACAGTGCTATGATTCTGTACATTTTCTTTCACATCGTATGTGCTGATCAGTTTTCTTTCTGAATGTGCATTAAAGAGTGAAGAATATATTAACACATATGTATATTACAATATCTCAATTTTGTTAACATATTGCCTATCACAAATCAAACATATCTACGTCTTCAATTTCTTATAAAAAATGAAAAATTCTATTCCAATGCAAGGGAAAGTTGCCTATCAAACAAGTTAAATGACAATGCGCTTAGTGAAGACCTGAAAAAATGTAATAATCCTGGCACCATTTCTCCTTTGCTTTCACACGGTGAAAACTATTCAAGAAGTAGGCAGAACACGACGAACATTTACAAATGTCCTTTGTGATCGATGTATTCTTTATCAAATCCACCTTTAATGCTGTGATTGGGAAGAAACTCTGCAGACTTCACCAGCTACTCTGCAGCGTGCTATTTATTCCACTCCTTAAAAATGTTCCTTCCAAATCACTTTATCTTTCTTTCTCTTTTTAAAACCTTTATCTTGTAGATTTACAGAGCTGCCCTGAGAAGTAAAACATGTATTGTCTGAGTAGTTTGGTTGGCGATTAAAAGTGCATTTCAAATTCCATTAAGTGCATGTAATTTATGAGATAGGTTTTTCTGCACTGGAGAGTAGAACATTCGCTAAAACTCTTTTGGCTACAGATTAAAACTAAAGCACAAAAGTCGTTGAAAACTAAACTGTTACCCAAAACAAACATTTGCAAGGCAAAGAAGGAACTAAACTTGTACCAACATCCCCAGTATTAATGTAATTTAATTAATAGAAGGAACTAAACTTGTACCAACATCCCTAGTATTAATGTAATTTAATAATTTACACAGTGCCATTTAATGGTAACTTTCGTAGCAAGTCAATCTTTGAAATCATGTAAACAAACCCACATTCTACTTTTGGAAGTGTTTATGGGTTGTTGTGGAGTTTCTGAGTATTTTAACAGCCTATCTAAAAAACCAAAAATTATAAAGAACCTACTTTGAGAAGCAGTGTTTTGGGAACGATGCAGAAAACATTCAGATAAAGATATTAAAGCCTTCTACTTTACAGACACTAAATCTATGTTATTGTTAATACATATGATATGCTAATCTATTCAAGCTAATTATTTGCACTTCGAAAAAGTATTAGCACGTTTTCATTAGTATTATCTATTGACGCCATTGAAGGTATATTTAATATTTATGAATGTTGCAAATAGAAAGAGTAATCAACTTCTAAAATGAACAAAGATTGTTCACTAATTTGGGTTTCCCTTCGAAAATTAAAAAAAAAAAACCCGGTTACAACAGGATTAAGTGCCTATCAAATCCCATGTACAAAATCCAGTACAGGACATTTGTACTTTTGAAAACAAACGTGTCATATTAGATTACTATGTCACACTTTTCAATAGAAATAAAAATAAATTATCCAGGTGTGATTGATGTTAACAATGTTTAAAAGGTAAATAATATTCCAAGGTGAGGTGGGGAGGGCCGGGGGGAGTTCTCCGCTGCCCTTCAAATGAAAACTGAAACTTTTCGCCTGCCAAGCTCAATTGAGTAATTGATTTATTGCAAAAGAACTAAGAATAACGCCCTGCAAACTTTGGCTTTTCATATAGGAACCAAATAAGAGAAACAAAAGGAACCAAGAATTGCTGTGTTGGTATGGGCATTCTGAATTCATTTCCCCAAGTGCTTTCTCAAAAACTTGCTCCCAGAAAACCTTGTTTTGTAAGGGGCGCCTCCCAGAGAAGGGTCCTTGACAGAAAAAGACCCTGCCTCTACCAAGCAATGCGACTAATTGGAATCGGCGGGGAAGAGCAGGGCGTTTGACTCTTGTCACTGGGAGCCAGCAGGGTGCAGAGCGAGAGGGTGCAGGGTCAGTGATTTCAGGCTGCTCAGGTGTGAGGGAGGGTAGCTGTAGGAAGGGTACATACGGTTGTTGGGGTCACTGGTGTGCTGGTTCAGGGGGATGATCTCCATGCGTTGCTGTCCGTACAGGTAATAGTCCAGCTCCTCCGCTGTACAGCGAAACCTGGGCGCCGCTCGCTCGCTGCACTTAGAGCGAGAGGGTGCAGGGTCAGTGATTTCAGGCTGCTCAGGTGTGAGGGAGGGTAGCTGTAGGAAGGGTACATACGGTTGTTGGGGTCACTGGTGTGCTGGTTCAGGGGGATGATCTCCATGCGTTGCTGTCCGTACAGGTAATAGTCCAGCTCCTCCGCTGTACAGCGAAACCTGGGCGCCGCTCGCTCGCTGCACTTGCAACATCCCCAGTATTAATGTAATTTAATTAATTAATTTACACAGTGCCATTTAATGGTAACTTTCGTAGCAAGTCAATCTTTGAAATCATGTAAACAAACCCACATTCTACTTTTGGAAGTGTTTATGGGTTGTTGTGGAGTTTCTGAGTATTTTAACAGCCTATCTAAAAAACCAAAAATTATAAAGAACCTACTTTGAGAAGCAGTGTTTTGGGAACGATGCAGAAAACATTCAGATAAAGATATTAAAGCCTTCTACTTTACAGACACTAAATCTATGTTATTGTTAATACATATGATATGCTAATCTATTCAAGCTAATTATTTGCACTTCGAAAAAGTATTAGCACGTTTTCATTAGTATTATCTATTGACGCCATTGAAGGTATATTTAATATTTATGAATGTTGCAAATAGAAAGAGTAATCAACTTCTAAAATGAACAAAGATTGTTCACTAATTTGGGTTTCCCTTCGAAAATTAAAAAAAAAAAACCCGGTTAAAACAGGATTAAGTGCCTATCAAATCCCATGTACAAAATCCAGTACAGGACATTTGTACTTTTGAAAACAAACGTGTCATATTAGATTACTATGTCACACTTTTCAATAGAAATAAAAATAAATTATCCAGGTGTGATTGATGTTAACAATGTTTAAAAGGTAAATAATATTCCAAGGTGAGGTGGGGAGGGCCGGGGGGAGTTCTCCGCTGCCCTTCAAATGAAAACTGAAACTTTTCGCCTGCCAAGCTCAATTGAGTAATTGATTTATTGCAAAAGAACTAAGAATAACGCCCTGCAAACTTTGGCTTTTCATATAGGAACCAAATAAGAGAAACAAAAGGAACCAAGAATTGCTGTGTTGGTATGGGCATTCTGAATTCATTTCCCCAAGTGCTTTCTCAAAAACTTGCTCCCAGAAAACCTTGTTTTGTAAGGGGCGCCTCCCAGAGAAGGGTCCTTGACAGAAAAAGCCCCTGCCTCTACCAAGCAATGCGACTAATTGGAATCGGCGGGGAAGAGCAGGGCGTTTGACTCTTGTCACTGGGAGCCAGCAGGGTGCAGAGCGAGAGGGTGCAGGGTCAGTGATTTCAGGCTGCTCAGGTGTGAGGGAGGGTAGCTGTAGGAAGGGTACATACGGTTGTTGGGGTCACTGGTGTGCTGGTTCAGGGGGATGATCTCCATGCGTTGCTGTCCGTACAGGTAATAGTCCAGCTCCTCCGCTGTACAGCGAAACCTGGGCGCCGCTCGCTCGCTGCACTTGGTGCCCCCGCCGCACAAGTCTTTGCTCTGCAGGGAGGCCGGGACTCCGGAGGGGGGCTCGGAGCTCGGAAGCTGCCCAAAGGCAGGAATCTGGGCCACAGAGATCGAGGTCAGCCCGGCGAGGGAAGCGGCGGCGGCGGCGGCGGCGGAGGAGGAGGTGGAAGAGGCTGG